AAAAAATTAACGTTTGCTTTGTTTTTAAAATATTCCGTGCAGTTTTGCTAAGAATAGATTATACATCTTATTATCAAATACCCATTGTGAAATATTCATTTTAATTATTGAATTTTTATTTCCTATTTCAATATAAATTATAAGTGAGTGAGCACTTTTGGGAGCCACTGTAATTATTAAAAATTATTGATATATAATCACCTGAAACGGTTTTCTTTTCCCTAATGAAAATATATTAAACAATACTTATCCAAGGTTTTATTGGTTATTCTGATTTTGTCATTTTGTAGGTACGCTTTGAGCAAACACTACTTAAAGTAACACAGTAAATTCAATAAAAACAATTAAAATTATTCTATAAAAACAATATATTCTGCAAGCTAAACATATTATTTTCTCCATGTCTTAATTTTTTAAAAATTAATGTTGTACCAGAACATCAAAAAATAATAAAAAAATTATCTTGTAAAAAAAATAAAAAAAATTTTAAGATATGTTTAAAAAAAATGACATTTTGAATGAGATATTTTATAATACAGACACTTTTCTTGTACACATCCTACACTTTTTAAGAAAAAAGGGAAAAAAACACAAACCTGGAAATTTTAAGATTTTTACCTGGAAAAATCAGGGAAATTTGAAATCTGTTTTGAGTGGCCACCCTGCTCGATTATATTCTTAAAATACCAGTAGAAATAACCAGTTCACTAATCGGATTTCACTTAAATCACTCAAACTTAACTACATAATTGTATGTTATAGCCAAAGACATACACGCGACAAACTAACGTTTTAGCATTAATGAGGCTAAGACAGAAGCGTTTTGCTTTTTCATTAAAAGCTTTCACTTCTTTCTTTTCAAAATCATTTTACATACATTACTTAAATTAAACATACATTCATGAATATATTTTTACTACGTTTTTATCAACTCGCTTTTGTCTGTGAGAATGTAATCTTGCAATTAAATGTTCAATATATTTCCGTCTAACTAGAGTGCTGGAGCTTTTCTCAGGATAGCAATAGAAGATTTGATTGTTTCGTAATCGCAACAGCTATAATTTATCTTCAATTAAAATTTATTGTGTGATTATTTCCCAACTAGTTAGAGTTATCAAATTTCACGTGGAATTATGTGCTCGATGTAAATTAAGTTATAATAGCTTCTTAAAGGGTGAAAACAAAATATATCACCGTTTAAAATTGAAATTTCGACCACTTTTTGACGTAAAAAATTAAACATGAAACTGTAAAAGGAAAAAATAAAATGCTTAAAACTACATTTTGCACGAAGATTAAAAAGGAGAGAATAGTTTTATGTTTGTCAGATGTAGCACGCGAAACGTACATTATTATTGGTATAGGCCTCCATATACATCACCGAAAAGCTCCTTGTTTTTCAACAATACTGTTACTTATTCTTATCAAACACAAAAACGTACTTTCTCTGAATAAACATACCTTTTTCTCCGACGGATTCGGATTTCTGACTCTCAATCTGGAAAATATGGTCCTTATAGTTTAGAACTATTCCACAGATATTTCTCAGATCTTGTATATCTAACTATTAAAAATTTGACTTTTATTAAATAAAAAATAATAGATGTTTACTTAAAGTTATTTTTCGCATTAAATTGTCTTCGGATAAACGAATTTTATAATAGTGTGCAGAAATTTTTTTTGGTTTGCTTTAAAAGTTCTCGAGCTGAGGGCGAAATACGCAAAAAATAAAATTCACTTTAAGAGATCTAAATTTAAGACCGCTCTCCTGACGAAACTGAGGACAATATTTCTCAGATTATGGCTGCTCCCTGTATTTTGGGGCTCAGAAATACGAATCCGTCGGAGGGGAGTATGTTTTTTCGGAAAAGTAAGTTTTTTTTGTCTGATTTCGTTACTTAAAATATCGTTTGCACTAATTAATTAGCACATTTGAAGTCACCCCCTTGAACTATTTAGATTGAGTCCTAAAACTTGAAGATCCGATCATTAGATCAAAAGTTATTCAGGATGGTCCGCTTTTTATTTCGCGCAGTGTGCATTTCTGCATAGTGAATTTCAAGCACTGAAACTTATTTATAAATTATATATTGCTTATGCTGCACGTACCGATGTGCAACATATGCAATAAATTCAAAACATAAGTCTGAGTTAATTCTTTACAAAATATGTTTTCTAAACTTTTTTAGATTAGACTTCAAGAGTTTGATTACTGTGTTTTTGTTACAGAATTTCTGTCATTAAAACGCATCAAGAAATTAAAAAAAAAATGTCTATAAAAATTGGTATCTTTGGGATAACTTTAAAGCGCTAAGATTAAAAAATAAGTTGCGCGCCTTTATAATTGCGAAAGATTTTCATGGAATTTTGGTGTTCCACAGAATTAGGGAAGCACATGCAATTAATTCAAAACCTTAAGTAAGAGTTCCTTTTTTTTTTTTGAAACATGTTTTTCAATCAAATTTCAACATGTTTTATTTTTCAAACTTTCTTAGACTAGACATTAGGAGTTTGATTACTATCTATTCGCTAGAGTTGCAATTACTGAAATGTATCTACAAAAAATAAATGTATATAAACGTTATTATCTTTGAGACTTTAGAAAGCTATAATCAAAAAATATGTCATGCGCTGGCTCATTATTTATGACTTGAACCACTAAAATATTTTCGTGTTTAGTGGAATTACATTTTGATGTGCAGAACATGAAATCAATTGTAAGTCGAAATAATAGTTGATTGTTTTAGAGATGGTGAGTTTTTACGCATACTCGCGAATTTTCTTGTCTCTTCGTTACTGTCAAAATGACCAGATTGGTTCAAGAACTTTTTCTAATTACCCTTAATTTAAATAAAAGAAATTCTTTCTTTACTATTACGTAACTATTCGCCAGTATTTTGAATGATTTTATGGTACTTAGTACTGTATAATGACAATAAATATTCTGTGATGTATGCGTGGTTGTACCTTCCTTATATTCTTTCAGATAAGAGCTCTCTAAGATAGAATGTTTTTTATGTAGTTGTACTTTTTTTATTAAAACTTTTGGCAAAAGCCCTATTTTATAACAGTATGTTGGAGGGGAAGGGGGCTCAAATAATATTTTTTTTTCAAAACTCAGTATGTTTGATTCCAAACTTTGAATCATTAACTGATGATGTAATGACTACGACTAATATTAAAACTAATAGCTGAATGTAGTTAGACTGGAAAATAACCACTCACCACAAGGCGAGTCAACAAAAAAAGTGGCGACTTAAATTAGATAAATAATTGGCCACTTTTTCCCATCTTTTTTTTTAATTGTTTGATGTTAAAAGTATAGAAAACATCAGTGCAGAAAGACTCTGGAAATCAGAATTTTCATTAAAATGTCATATGTCTCCATTAGAAGCTTTATTTCCTTAAGAATCCATCAATTTGTGATAGAAAAATTTGTGTGGAAGGAGAGTCATTAACAATTGACAACTTTATCAATTCGCATTTACATTAAACGTATTTTGCCTCCTTAAATAGTTTTAATTACATTTGTTTAAAGTCAGTATGTTTAACTAAATTTTGCCACATATTTATATGAAAAATTTGTCGTATATTTATATTATTGAATTAACTTTTTATATTCGTCGATTAATCATTATAAAATGAGTTTTTTTTTTTTCAAAAATCAATCCCATCAACAAAAAAAAGAAGCTGAAAAACGGCGATTAAATGAAGAAAAAAATTATATATATATCGGTCACAAATTCTTCAGGTTTAAGTAAAAAGTGGCTGCTAAGTTATAAGAGTCTACAGACCACTGGCTACAAACTGAAAATTTCAAGTTTGAATGTAACTAACAATTCCAATCAAATTTTTTAGCCTTTGACTTCGTGGGCTATGCTTCTAAAACGTTTATGAATTACGTGGTTGAAACTGAACAACTAGTTGGACAAGAATTCGAACTTTGCTTTTTCTAATGTTTGTAGAAAACAAAATTATTAGGTTAACTGGACTCTTTCAGATTCTTTTAGATTAGATTGCGATTTATACACAATGGGTGTAATCTAAATCCCAAGTTCAATTGACACATTCGTGACGAATATGTTTTTTATTAAAGTAAAATAGAAGCTAATGTCTTTCAAAACGCTACATAAAAATGAATTACAATACATCATTCAAACTTGTTTTTTGTTAGGTAGGATCCTGCCTAACAAAATGCGAGTGTTTATGCGAGTTCTGAATCTTCAATTGTGGTTTCCGCGAGTCTATATATTACTCATTTAAATGCCCATCTTTCAACATAGAATGAGATAATAAAGAAGTTTCACTTGATTTTCGCAAGATTGCTTAACCACATCACTGCATAAACATTCACCAGCACACCTGTTATTCAAATCGTAAATCACTTTAGATTAAACGTCTCTAGAATTTGAATTGTATTGTACCCGTGTCCATTTACAGGGAATAATTTTTGACAAATGTCAATTAAGATTTTAGTCAAATTAATGTTATTTGTTCATGACTAACAACTGTAGTATTGTTACATCACATTTTACAATTAGAGTTTGAAATCCAGTGAATGTCGGCCTTTACATAGTCATAATGTCCAAAACATTAATTTTCAGTTAATGTTAAATCTCAACAGTGTGAGAATCTAGGATAATTAAGAAATATTTAGAATATTCAGCAAATGTGACTACATGAATGTTGACATTCGTTAATTTAGAATTTTCAGTGATACATATATAACATTTGAATGTCTATCTTTTTATGAAGAATAAGATAACGAGTTTTAAGAACATGCGTACTGATAAAAACGTATAATAAATACATATAATAATAATACAATGTATTGTAATGAGCTTGAAATTATAAAAAGTTGCTTAAATATATGTTCAATTATGCAACTGTTTAGACGTAAGTTTAAAAAAAAGTTATTCTAAATATAATGATTTAACATTTAAAAAAATGTAAAATAGTTATATTTATAAATATATATACATAGTTGGCATTTACCTATCGTCTCACCGACCATTTTCGCCAAATCTGAAAATGAATTCGGACGTGGTTCAAATTCAAATATTTTCTAATTTTTTGCATGTAATAAGTTATATTTGTATTTTGTCTATTTCTTTATAATTTCTATTATTATTATATCTATTATAATTATTATTATTATATCTATAATTATATCTATTTCTTATCTGCTATGTAAAAATAAATTTGAAGATACCAAAATAATTTAGGTGTAGTGTTGGCGAAAATGGTGGGCTGGATGATACGTAGATACATTTTTCTAAAGGTGGAATAAAAAATATTTGCTTAATTTGTCCCTATATTTGAATTTTTCTTTTAAATCTAAGAATAATCACTTCTTGTTGGGAATTTCGATGATGGGGGAAAAAAATAATAATCTTTATTTTAAGATGATGAGGCGAGAGAATCTCTTTAGTTCAAAAATGGTTCAACTTCGAAACCAATTTTTTTCAGACTTAGTTCTCTATTATCGATGCTAATTTGAAATATTTATTAGTTAGAAAATAAAACTTACTTTCTATTGATGCATACTTTCTATTGTCTGTATTAAATTTTAATTGTTTATTCCAGGAGCGGTAAACTACTTAAAGGTGATGAACTTTTGATTGTAAATGGAGTTAGTTTAGAACAAGCAAGGCAACTGCTACGTATACTTGAAGAAGAAATGCATTTACTTTTAGCATGAGAGGTATGTTCTTCTATTTAATTCTTGAATAGGTTGAAATAGTTTTTTTGTTTACGTGCTGTAGTATAGGGTTTTGAAAATGTCTTTGTTTTATCCTTGTTTAAATATGTATGTGTACCTTTTTGAATTTATTTTCGACAATATAATTAGTTGGCCACTAAGTTCCCGTCGAATCTCATAAAAAATCTTTAGAAGTTAATGGTTTGGAAGCATAGCGTTTTTTTTTTTTTTTTTGTAGTTGTTGCCAGTTTCCTTGTTGTTTGAGTTGAATTTTAGTGCAACACTTCGTTTAATCCCTCTTCATCGAAATCGTCGGGACGCCCAAAACAAACTTCGATTTTTTAAACTTGGCATACCAATCACGAGCGGTTCTTTCAGCAATGCCACAAGCACCTTAGGCGAACTTAACCTTGATTAAAAACAATAGAGATGTCAAAAATGCTCGTTTTTCTCAACTTGAGATTCTATCTTAAAATTAACATAGATTAACTCAAAACATTTTTTTTAATGATTATCGGAAACACTATGACAAAAACATTTAATGACATGCGAAATGTTAAAAAATAAGCAAACAAACCTGGTGGGAATTTAGTTGCTAACCCAATATTAGGTTGTTGTTTTAGTTCATTTATGTCGCACTAGAGCTGCACAATGGGACATCACAATTTTGATCCTCTGCAGAGGGGATCACAATATTAGGACAGTCGTTTTAGAATATCGTGTGCTTATGCATTTTCCTGATTGATAAGTTATTTCTGCTTGCAAAAAAGTATTTTTTTTATCGATCCATAATACTTACTCCCAATTAAGGGTCATTTGCTTTTTGGGTATTAAGGTACATCAGCAACTTCTGGTATGGACCTGCTATCTTTTCTCCCTAATATCTTATTTCTATTTGCAGGTTAAGATTAAATGTACCTTAAGCTTTCTTTAACTTGCTAGTAGAAACAAGGTTTTAGAGAGAAAATCTATCAGGATCATGCCAAAATTTGCTTAAGAAATTTAACGCTAAAAAACAAATGGCTAACAAGCTCTTGATTGGTAATGAGTACTATGAGTAAATACTTATTAAACAAGTATCCATGTTAGAAGCATCCCAGTCATGTTTTCTCTCTCTCTCTTTATTAATATTGTCATATAGTTAACTACACTCTTTTTTTTAAAAATCTATTTACTCATTGTTCGTGTTTGGCAAAGTATTGCTATTTCAGACTGCTGTTATGCTTATTGATAATCAAGAAATATAATTTTTTTAAAGTTTTATTCGAAGATTATTCTTCGTAAGCTCTGATTTTAGTCATTTTGAGGTTTGCTCGTAATGACCTACATTTAGAAAAAATGGAGTTTAAATAAAATGGAGAGTAGTTAGTGATCTAATTTTTTAATACCTCTGTTTGGGTTAGCAAAAAACTGCAATAATTGAATGAAATTATTCGTTGATAGGTTTATGTAGGTGATAAAATCTACCTAAATTATGATTTATTTATTTTTTTTAAAGTTAAGTAATTTTTTAAAATTATTTTGTCTGTTATAAATTCCAGAAATTTTTTTTCAGCAAAATAGTACATTTAGTTTAAAAAGTTAAACTGTAGCTTTGACAAAATTAATTTCTTGATAAATTTTCAATTCTTATTTTTTTTTAAAAATATTAGAAGCATAAAATTATGAGCAGAGACACATTATTTTTCTAAATTTTTTTCCTAAATTTAAAAGTTCTCATTTAAGTTATGTATTAGTAATAATTTTCATATAGAATGAATATGACCAACATGTTATTTCTGTTCAAATTGTGAAATTTTCTTAACGTGGTTTTTGCAAAATGTAATAGCTTGAGAATTTTAAATATGATTATGTATATGTTGTAGGCTAATTTAAAAATCTAGCAAATGCCCTAAANTTTCCTAAATTTAAAAGTTCTCATTTAGGTTATGTAGAATATGACCAACATGTTATTTCTGTTCAAATTGTGAAATTTTCTTAACGTAGTTTTTGCAAAATGTAATAGCTTGAGAATTTTAAATATGATTATGTATATGTTGTAGGCTAATTTAAAATTCTAGCAAATGCCCTAAAAAAATGTGTAGTGAAAAACTCTACTTTTCTTACACAATTTCAGAAAAAATTCTTTTACATTCTATAACTTATATACGCTAATTAAAAATCTGACAGTTAGCAATGTTGCTGGCATTTTGCAATGTGTCACAATAATTTGCTAATTTGTCCGATATATTTTAGGCTAAGTAGAAAATGTGCCAAGAGTTCAGACTGAATTTACTTATGCTTAGGGCAATAAATCTACAATGAGCTTTCTCTGGACTTATCACAAACTGTGTGAAATAATTCAGGTTAAGTAATGAACGAATGATGTATTTTTTAACTAGCCTAAAGATATTTGAACTCACTGCAATAAGGTATCATTATGATTAGAAAATGCTGGAGATCTTTTTTTTCAATTAGCTGCAAAATGACCAGAGTTGTCTTCAAAGAGCCAGATTATGGCATATATATAACAGATTGCAAAACTGATATTTAATAATAAGTAATGACAAAAAAAAAATTTTGAAAGAACTTTTTTTAAAAAAAAAAACTTTTTCTGTTAATAAAATATCTGAATTTACTGAGGCTTAGGTTTGTAATGTTTAAAAACTCTCTGCCACAGAAAGTATAGTTTGTCTATATAAAGAACTCCCCTTCCCACAAAGGCTAAGGTCATCTACTGCTATGGAAACAAAAATTGAGGAATTTCAAAGAAGTGAGATTCTGTCGAACCTGATTCGCTTTTTCTCGCTGAGCGAGCCTTAAATCACGCATGTCTTAAATATTGACTTAACACCCCTATTTGAAATAGTAAATCTTGTAATTATAGTCATCACCACTGCTCCAGACAAATGGCGAGGGGAGTTCCTTACATAGACAAATTATAAAGCATTTTGCTTATGTTACGAACTTCTGTTTATTGCCACTATGGCTGTTCCTCGAAGGCTCAATTGTCNGTAAATTATAAGTTTCAAGATATCATATTCATCTCTAAATTTTCTTAACATTTACAGCTTACTGAAGACCTCTGCTTTAAAGAAGATTCCTCAAGACTTCAAGCAACTCAAGTGCCAAAACTGCACGAGTCACACAATCTTCCAATGCCATTCCAAGGCTAAGGCATTGGCAGTCAGATGCTGGGAAGTATTGCTCAGGCGATAATAGTCATTCTAATCCAGATTTACCTCCAAAGCCAAAGATAGACAATGAACGAGTGTGTATAGTATTGAGACTTAATTATCAATTTACTTCATCCTAATTCTTTTTTTTTTTTTATTTCTATTTGAACCCCACACATACAATGTGTCTTAATATATGTAGCGAAAGCAGAAAGTGTATTTTTTCTTAAAAAATCTGAAGCAAATTTAAAACTTGTTTAGTGTATATGTTACCGTAACTGATCGAGAGAATGTCAACAATCAGTCATGGTCGCTTTGGTGAATGTCCGAAATATTTTATATTAATTTATTCGTTGATATTATATTTATTCGATATTTTAATATCTGCTGAGGAGAAGCATCAGTACTGGTTAAATGCATACTGGACTGTGGCACTTGACCTCAAACATGGATGTAGGGCATACTGAACAGTCATTTACCAAAGCGATAGTCAACATTCACAGGTGGAAGTCAACAACCACCAATTTTGATCATTCACAGTAACATATTAGTTAACATGGAAAAAATTCTGAAATATTAAAACATGTATAATGTACACAAGAACTTTTGATCTAATAATCAAATTTTTGCATGTTATGTTAATGGTTAGAGGAGAATACTTTAATGATTAATAAGCTATAAAATTAATACAGACTGTATTTAAAGTAGCAATTTTTGACAAGACTTTTAAACATGTATAGTGAATATATAAATGTTAAGTGTACACAAGTTCACTTATATATATGTTTTAGTTACAATTTTTGACTAGACTTTTAGACAGGTGTGAATTTTCAAAAATCCAAGTAGTAAATATCAGGAAAATATGTTCCTAAATCGGTATCGAGAGTTTAAAAAGTTAGAGCCCCATAATATCAAAATGCAAACTATCTATCAACAATTACGTTCTTTTTTAGTGTAGAAAGACAATAGCAAAAACCAAAACAAACAATCTCGTGAAGCAAATTCCTGTTTTTATCTTTATTCGATAAATACGCAAGGTATCCTTATAGCTTTTACTTATATCAGAGGTGATTGTGCTCCGGAAAAAATACGGATTTCCAGATTTTTCCCTAACTGCGCTCCGGAAGTTTCCGGAAATCTTAGGTCCAGAAGTTTTAAATAATCATCGATCACATTTATAAATAAAAATTCTTGAATATTTTATTTAAAAATATTAGAACTAGGCCATGGCGCAGAATAAATCAAGATGGCAAAAACTTATTGGGATGGTCTTGGCCTGTCATAAGCTGTAGTGCCCAAGAAGAAGAATTAGAATTTATACTTGGCATCTTTCATTTGTAAATATTTTTTCTGGTGGAATAATAAATGTGATGAGAGATAAAAATAAACTTATACATAATCATTCATTTAAATTATTATGTATATAATTTATTTAGATTTCAATGTTTTGAAAACATCAATGATTTAAATTTATAAAGACATTATGCGTCTTTAATGATTTTACAGAAATTTTCCGGATTATTGTACGACGACATTTAAGACAGTTTTCTAAGAATTGCTAGTTATTCTATGTTATGAATTTGACATGTTTTCAAGCAATATTGCATTATTTAATGAATTATACTTACATTTCCTATTTTAATTTCACAGATGGGCAGTAATGGTATCTGCACATTGCCTAGGTGGCCTAAATCCTCCGCTACATACAGTAGTATTTGAGAAAGGCTTAGGATTCAGTATTGTTTGTGGTAAAGATTCTCCAAAAGGCGAACTTGGTTTCTATGTATCTTTACAAATGGCCAGGCATCTCTTAGAGAAGGTACGAATTTTCATTATTAAACTTAAAATACTTATTTTGTTTCCCCTTTATTATAATTAATAAACAGGGTTCCTACACGGTCAGGAAAACCTGCAAAAGTCAGGCTATTCTAAAATTAAGCTAAAAAGTCAGGATTTTTCTTACATATTCATAAAGTTAGGAAAATTAAAAAAAAACTATAGTTCATTCAAAGACTGACAGGCAAAAATAAAGTTTCAAGGAAAAATTCTGTAATTCAAAATATGTAATTTCCTTATAATAACATTTCTCTTTCCCTGGTAGAACCTGTCCTGTTAGCAATTTTTCTCCTGTTTATCCAATGATAAGGAATTTTTAATAGGGTTGCTCTTTGTGTGAATAACTGGTTTACAGACAATGGTAGCTGAAACAACAGCAGAAAAATCAAAAAAGGAATTTTTACTGTTTTGTGATGCTGCCAAAAAAAGAAAAAAAAACGAAGAACAAAAGAGTTTCTTAGAGTTTAATCCATAGCAAAAGAGATTAGATAATTTTTGTTCGAAATATTTACACGTAGAAAAAAAAGTGGAAATTTGTGGGAGGTTATAAATATTGTTCTTATCCTCTCTCATGGTAACGTAACAGTGGTAGGGGGTTATTCAATCAATAAAAGCTTATTGGTTGAAAACCTCAATGAAGACTTTATTATTTCACAAAGGCGTGTGTATGATTATGTTTCATTTATAAATGGAATAAAAAACATAGACATTAATGAAAAAATGCTAGAGGCTGTAAAAGGATCTAGAACAAGATGGAGACATGCATTAAAAGCAAAAAAAATGAAAGAATAAAAGAGCTGAAATTTCTAGAAAACGAATAAAAGAAAAGATAGATGATTTGAAATTAAGAAAATCTAAACTGACAAAAACTGCTGCAACAGAACTGGATGTTCTAGATTCAGAAATTGTCAAGCAACAAAATATGTTGAGAAATATTATATAACATAGGAGCCCCTGAGTTTCTCCGGAAGTTTACAGTATTACAGAAATAAATTTAAAAATACTGAAAAAAAAAGATATTTTTGATTTTATTTTTCTCACAAGTTGCATAATTTTTCTATCTGAATTTTTATTTGTATATAATTAACTTTTCTTGACTTTTTTCCCCTTTATATTTCAATGTTATCTTTTAAAAGAAAAGTCAGCTTTAAGTGAAATTGTGATTTTTAAAAATTAATATTTTGATGTAAAAAATGTACTAGTATGTTTTAAGAGTAAATATTATTTGAGGATACTGATACATATCTAGTAGATTTGATTAACCCTTTATATCCTGACGACACTCATGCATTTGGTTCCACTTAACATTAAATAAAATAATATTTCCATAGTCCAATAGATTTTCTTGATCTTTTTATTTAAATAGTTTTCGTATCTAACTACAAAAACACACTAAGAGTTTAATCTAATCATGATAATTAAAAATAAGTTTCACAAGTTTTCTGAAAATATAATTTGGGATATAAAGTGCTATTACGCAATTCCACTTTAATATATAAGTGTTTATGCTATTCAATCTATGATACTTATGACTAAGTAGCATATTATTACTAATTGAAACTGCAATGTAAAAGTTTTGTTGGAGTGGGAAACGGCGGGTCAGGAATTTTATTGTAAAAGGTCAGGAAAACCTGCAAAAGTCAGGATATTGTTTTGCTCAAAATAGTGTAAGAACCCTGATAAAGGTTAGGTGGATGAAGGTGTAAATTGCCCTGTTTTCATGTCATCGATTAAGTATACATCTGGGCATTCTTTAATTTGGGTTTCAGGACCTTCCAAAATCTATTCCAGGAATAAAACTGACAGTTAAAGTTTAAAAATTAGTTTGCTGTATAAGAAAAAAACGAAGAAAGCTGCCTTTCATCTATAAATCCAATTTTCCACACAGTATAAATGTGTTTTCAAAACACCCATTTTTATATTACATCATTCTTCACACTCTGGAATTTTAATACGTGTACATAGCTGCCAACTCTACTGGATATTGCCAGTTTCTCTTGGTTCCATAAGAAAATTCCCTAAAATTGGGTAAGTTTCCTTAAAAAATCCCTGTTGAAATAGAAATTTTTTGCAGATTATTGCTTGCTTGAATATTTAAATAAGTGTTACTTATGCATAATGAAGCAAGCCTCATTTAGAAATATTAGTTTAAAAGTTTTTTTTGTTCTAAAATGTAAAGTTTATTTTCATTCAGAACTTTCTTTTTTAAATAATTAAAAACTATTTTATCTATCTTTGATGAATGAAATACCTATTATTACTCAAAATTGTCAGTAAACTTAATACATAAGATTACAAGTTCATTTAATGTTAATCATAACTGGAAAATATTGCAGATATTCTATTTTGATGACTACAAAAATCCCTAAAATTCCTTATGTGTAAAATAATTAGTACATTTTTCGAAAATTATCATGAAATTTATATTATTTTGTAAAATCTACTGGATTTTTTCCTATCTATGTTGACAGCTATGCATGTATTTGACTAACAATTTTATGACACAACATTACAATCTATATTTACTCAATTCATCCCATCATTTTACTCAATTCCTCCCACTTGGTCTTAACAATTGCTTTTTTCAATTAACTTCTGATCTGGGGAATCATGAAATGAATTTAAGCATCTTTCTATCTAAACTTAATTAACCGAATATATATATATATATATATATATATATGTCATTTAAAGCAGTAAATAAAGACACTCAAATAAAGATACTCAATTTAAGCACTCAAAAAATATTTTTAATCACTTTCCAAAAACAAAACAAAAAATCATAATTAGGATCTGTGCAGGAATAAAAACTATTTTTTTTCTAACGTTTAATGTTCTTAATAAACACAAAATCAATAAAATTCAAAAACTTAACATAATCATGATAAAATAACTAATTTCTAATAAATATTGCAGAGAAAATTGTGAAAATCATGCATTTTTGTAATTTGAATGGCAATTGACACAGCAAAGAAGGAAAAAAAATCACTTTTTAAGAAATAGAAAACTAATCACTTTTTACAAACATTGAATAAAAAAAAAAGGACTTTTAAAAAACGTAAATCAAAAATAAGCACTTTTTAGAAACTCTATGCATCCAAAATATATATGAATATGGCAGCACATGACAAACACATACATTGTATTAGTTTTCCCACATTTTTGATGCACAAAAATTAAAATGTAAATAAATTAACAAAATACCTTACAAAATAAAACCCAAACAAGTGATTTGTTAGTGTTAATGTGGGGTACAAACACCAATGATAAAACTATAGTTAAACTTTATATTGGGAATTTTTCACTTAAAAATATTTTTCCATTTGCTTAAAAAATGCTTAAAATTATCTTAATTACATTTATTTGGAAGAAAAATTTTTTTCAATATCAAATGATAATTCTTAAAAATTGGGACCCTTTATAAGCAATTAGTTCAGATTGTTTTCTGACAAAAGGTTGTGTCGTGTAAGATGTCGGCTAATACATTTATATCAATTTTCTTATAAAGAGCATGAACAAAACTAAAAATGTCTTCAAAACTAAGCTTTCAAACTAGAAAAAAAAATTTTATATATATATANTATATATATATATATATATATATATATATATATATATATATATATATATATATATATATATATATATATATATATATATATATATATATATATATATATATATATATATATATATATATATATATATATATATATATATATATATATATATATATATATATATATATATATATATCATCAATCTTGAAAAGATAATAAATCAAAAGAAAAAGAAGTTCTTGGAACAACTGTCATATTTTTAAAACCTTGACTTATAGTGATTTTCTCCTACTCTTTGCTCACTTTACTTTCAGAAAATATATATGACACAAATATGATATTGGAGCAAACAAATATGTGTCAAATATATTTGACACAGTTTTCAAATACAAAATTACTGTCTTAAATATACCCACAAAATTCTAGAATATGATTTTCCTTGATTTTTATTTTATTTATTGATTACCTTTATTTTTTTATTGATTACCTTGATTACCTTTTAAAGTAACTAGATTTATTATACTCTTTTATTAAGGCGTATAATTGAATCTTAATATATTAATATTACATATTCTTTTGAAATATCTATTATTTTTTATGCAATAAGTATAAAATTTTATTTATTTTTAGGAGATGAAATTTATACACTTAATGGTCAACCATTACAAGGCCTTTCACATTCAGAAGCGGCCTTTAAGAAAATTAAAGAAGGTCCAGTAGTGTTACACATTGGGAAACATTCCAACAAAAAAAGGTATGCATTGGATTTCAGACACAATTGTACTCGCACTATTTAAATCTTTTATTTGGATAGGAAAAAAAGAATTTTCTTAAAATTCAATTTTTAATGAAATATTTTGTTTGGGTTCTTTTAATAAAAGTACTCATTGCATTTTAGCCCACTCGAAGACACCCTAAAAATTAATGTAGCAGAACTTTACAATACAAGCAACACAGGAACGTTACAAATACAGTATTTGTGTGCTTGATAAGCAAACGCCGAGATTATCATTATGAAAATAAGGTGCAAACAAGCTATAAAATGACATTACTGTATTACAGGGCTCCCACGGGTCATTGAAAACTTGGAATTGTCAGGAAATTTTTTTGAAGAAAAAAAACTGGAAATCTCCTATATAATACCTGAAAAATAACCGGTTTTAGAATTTCCAATAACAATAATCAATCATTTAAATAATTCTAACATCTATTACTATTATTTGTTGTAAAAACTCACATTTTAACAAAGCGCTTTTCCATGCACTCCATATTTTTTCCTCACAAAATCTAATATTTGACATTATAAATAAGAAAATTGAAGTTTTCCAATGAAAAATTCTATGGTATAGATAAAATATAGCCGGGATTTAGATTGAAAGTTTCCTGAAATACCTGGAAAAGTCGGGTAATTTTTTTCTGAAATTGAATGAGAACCTTGGTATTATAAACTAATTTATAATATTTTCCAATCATTAAAGTATATTTAACTTGTAATTTGAGACTTGTCATTGAAATCTGAACATCCTTATCTTTTTCATCCTTAGAATAACTACAAAGTATGAGGTCAAAATTACCTAGTACTAAATTTAGCTGATGATTGTGGCAGATAAAAATGCAAGATAATTGTGCATTTTGTGATTAAATATTGTTAGAATAGTAAGTGCTCCAATATCTTGAAATCATGTACTAACAATGATTTATATTGTTAGTACTAGTTACAACAGGGTGGCCACCCACCTGATAAACCTGGAATTATCAGGGAATATTTTTATACTCTGGAATAAACTTGGAAAAATCTGGGAAATTTGGATAAAAACATGGAAAAATCAGGGAATTTTAGAGAAAGCTGGAAATTTATTTTTAATTTTTCCTATATTTAAATTATTTACCAATTTACTTAATTTCAATTATTTTACCGTCCTTGATACTTACCTTTTTTAGACAGAAATGTATCGCTGAACAGTTGAAATTAGAAAGGGTTAGGATATTTGCTTCAGTTTTTAAAAGTAGGGTTTTTTCCTTTCTTGTCAGTAGGCTGAATTTAAATGTTAACAGATGGAAACAACTATATGTTAACATTTAATTTTGCTGTTTTGTTGGTAAATATTCTTTTAAAATTCAAAGTTCGAACAATATTGTAATCAAATTATCGAAAGTTCGTAAATGTTACTTGCATTCCAGAGGTGATATTTCCAAAACTGTTTCTCCTTTTGTCCTAAAAACTAAGACTAAGGGACGTATAGGAAGCATATTAAGTGATATATAAACATAAAGTATTAATTTTATTCATATGTGTTTATTTGGAAGAAAGAAAACAAAACTTTGTTTTTTTGTTCCGCACTGTACAAGTTTCTAGTTGTAAAAACAGAAACAATTAAGCTAAACTAAAAAAAAAACATGCATTTAGATTGGAATTCTTTATATATTTTAATTTTAAGTAAGGAAAAAAACTAAAAAGAATAAAATGTGAAGAATTTTATAAATATTTTTTCCTAAGGAGTATGCAACAAGAAATCAGAAAATTTTGCACATGAAAACTTCTGCATATGCACTTCGAGAAAAAATTACTTAAAGCTACACATTAAAAATATTTTCAATAAAAACAATACATTTTACAAGCTGAGCATATTATTTTCTCCACATATCTTAATTTTTTTAAAAACTAATGTTGTATCAGAACATTAAAAATTAAAAAACGATATTTCAATAAACGATAAACGGTATTTCGTATTTAACTTTGTTATAAAAAGCTCATTTTTTTTAAATCTATTAAATGTAGGTATAATAATTTAATTATTGTTAAACCAATAAATGTCCAATGGTTTTTAACTATAAAAAAAATTAAAACAAAGCTTACAATTATTTAGTTTGCTTTTATTTTTGAGAAAATTAAAACGAAGTTTAAAAAATTTGGCTATTAGTTTAAAAGAAAAAATATATATATTTTTTTAATTAAATAAAGAGTTTAATAATGTTTTGTCGCTTTTTTAATAATTTGACATTAGTACTTAAAGTTTTTTTTTATTATTAAAATTCTTTCAATATTTTTTTGTTTTATAATTTGTTAGATAGTCAGTATCATTTTTAAACAAATAAATCTTGAGTCGATTTCATTTTCAAAGAAAATAATAATAAATAAGTATTTCTTAAGTACAGAATTTGACTATTAGTTAATACTACCTTTTATTATTTTAAATAATTAAATAAGAAAGGGTCTAATGATGCTTCAAAAGCATGTTTATTTTTTCCAACAAATAATTTTTAAAAAATGTTTTTTTCTAAAGTGGACATTTCTTTGGTTTGCTTTACACTTTCATTTTTTTTTCTTTTAATTTTCATTGCATGTATGTAAAATATTTTGTTACAGTATTATTTTTTTTAATACAATAAATCTTAAATTATTTTTAATTCAAGAAAAATAAAATAAAGCTTGACGTCATAGTGGAATATGTTTAGAATTAATATTTTCTTTTCGTAATAGTTTATTCCTTTATTTAGTTTATTCCTTTATATAGTTTATTTCGAGGAATAAACTATTCTTTCGTAATAGTTTATTCCTTTTTATTGATTTTTGATTGATTGAAAGATTTCCCAATGGTAATTTTTGAACAAATGCTAAATCGCGATACATCACTTTAACGCGATGTCTCACTGACGATGTATCACAATTTAAAATTTCTGACATTACCCAGTCCTAGTCATAGTATTTTTCAATTAAGCTATAATTTTAGTTATTTGGCTACTATTTTTGATAGATTTTTGTTCCTGTTCAGGCAACTATTTTCATTGTTTTAGGCAACTATTTTCATGCTTGAGGCTACTAAAAGCAACTATTTTGGTTCATTTTTTATTGTGGCAACCCTGTAAAAGTATATTTTAATTCAAACAAATTTATGAAACCAATTAAATATGATTGCCACTAGAAATCTATGTGTTTGCATTTCACCTATTCCTTAAATAAACATGGTTGCTACATGCATTTTTTTTTTTCGCTTTAATATTTGAATTCTGAATTATATTTAAGCCATTATGAACTCGATTCAACTTCTTTTGAAAAGAAAATATATTGTTTTTGAATCATCACTCTATCAACATAATTGTACATTTGACCTTGAAATTCAAATATGACAGACAAATTATTTTTATTTCAATATTGCTGTAATAAATAGTGTTGCTATCATGAAATATTCATAATTAAATCTTTTAACGTTTTGCAAATGCATGTTGCAAAAAAATTAATTTCTTCTTAGGAAATTTCATTTTTTTATTAATTTTATTTTGTAATTGTAAACAAAGTTACAAAAGGAATGAAAATAAAAAAAAATCTAGATTTTGTTTTTATAACTGTTGTAAAAGTTTTAATGTATGAACTTTCATGATACATGTTATTAATTTTATAGATAGCTAGATTTCCTGACAAAATAGGATTTTATACTACAACTTGTATGTCGTACTTAAAAAGTCAATTCTCACTCATCCAGTGTAACGCAGCAACATTTTTAGGTAAGTGTGTTGTAATAATCATCTAATTATTGCAAATATAGTAAACCTTTGGAGCATTTACTAATTTTTCTTTCATTATTCAAGGCTCCTTGTTGTAATCTTGTAACTCCCACTGACAAGTTTTACTTTATTTTTATAATACGTATTTTAGATTATTTTTTTTTTACAACAGCCGACGCAATTTTGAGTTAATAACTTTCAATATTTCAACTCTGTAGCCTTGTAATTTTTGAACCCAACCCAGAAGCCAATGGAACTCCTAGATCATT